GAACACATGTCTGGTGCCACCCAAGGGACAGGTTCCTGGATCACCCAGCTCTGACAGCCAATGGGGCTTGCCTTCTCAAGGACTGTAGTGAATAAAGCAGCAGCTGATGGGTGTGCACATGATCATTCACTATAACTATCCCACTGAAGTTCAGCACAGAAGGAGCGAGCAAATAAAAGCCTAGCTCCTAGTTGTTCCCTGGAAAAGATGTGACTGCATGCTTCCCCCGCTTCTGCCTTCTATCAGCCCAAATCTAGGTGTAAACTGAGATCATCTCCCCACCCCCACCCCCGCCCCTCAGGGCACTGATGGGTCTGGTACAGCCTCAAGTACTGGGGCCACTAAGGACAAAGACAGCAACTTGAACAATGTCAAATGTTTAAGAGCAACCAGAATCTTGGGCCGGGCTGATTAATGAAGCTCATCTCCCACACAAGACTAGTCTGTCAGACTGGGAGAGGTGTCTCTTTTATGTAATGCACAGAAACCAACAGAAGACTATGAAAAAAAGGAAGAAACAGGAGACTATGTTGCAAATAAAAAGGTAAATCTCCAGAAACTGATTTTAATGAAATAAAAATAAGTAATTTATCTGATAGAGAGTTCAAAATCATGGTCATAAAGATGCTCACCAAGGCCAGGAGAGCAATATATAAACAAAGTATTTCAACAAAGAGACAGAAAATATTAAAAAGTACCAAACAAATCACAGAGCTGGAGAATGTAATCACTGGAATGAAAAATACAATAGAAGGGTTCAACAGCAGACTAACTTAATGGAAGAAGGAATCAGTGAAATTGAAGATAGGGTAGTGGAATTCATCCATTCAGAGGAGCAAAAAGAAAAAGAAATATTAACCCTGTCCCTTAACACTGATGGTGTAGAGAAGTTCCATTACAAGTCTAGGCTGCAGGCAACGTTACCTGTACTATAAACTGTTCTAGTAGTCTAAAAGCGTTCCTAGAAATCTTCAAGGAATTGTTTACAAGACCAGGATTTTACCCCTGTGCCAGTAGCTTCATTTGTCCAGACCAAATGCAATTTGCTTTCCACCTATGTACATACAATATATTCTCTATATATGGAAATCCATTCATATACACGCACAAAAGTCAACTTAGACTGAGAACTTAGTATATTCAGACACAGTTCTAGAGCAGTGGTCGGCAAACTGCGGCTCACGAACCACAGGCGGCACTTTGGCCCCTTGAGTGTGGCTCTTCCACAAAATACCGACTTCTGCGAATGGGCCACGAAGTTTCAATCGCACTGTATGTGCACGCCTGCACGTGGTATTTTGTGGAAGAGCCACACTCAAGGGGCCACAGAGCCACATGTGGCTCGCAAGCCACAGTTTGCCGACCACTGTTTTAGAGGCTTTACCATATAGCTATACCATTAATTAGAATTATCTAATTCAACCATCACAACAAACCAATGAAGTGGGTACTACTGTGCCTCATTTTTTAGAAAGTGTAACTTGGTGGCATCGGAACTAAAAAACTTGTCCAGGAGGTCTCACAGCCAGGAAGCAGCAGGGTCAGAATTTGAACCTGGCCCCAAAGCAGCTTTCTAATGGCTGTGACACCAGAGTTGTTCTCCCATAGAATACAATGTCTCACCACAAAAAGGAACTGCTCCAGTTTTCCTCTCATAAAAATACATATTTCTATATAAGTATGACAAATGTCAGGAAGGGCCTCTTGGTGGCATAAGTCAGCCTATTATAAAGATATGGATAATCTAAAGGGCATGATAGATGGAGGCTTGGAAAACAAGAATACATATCCTAACAGCAATGAAAATTGTAATAAGATGACCCTTAGCTACCTGGGGGTAGCCCAGTGTCTCTGACAGCAAAAATGACCAAACATGCACTTCTAACACAGGCTGTGCACAAAACATGCTATTGAGTTGGCTCCAACTCCTGGCGACTCTATGAATGAGTGATGTTCACTGTGTCCTGCCTTCAACAGCCCTGCTCAGAAAATTGCATTCATGTACTATTGCCAATTCACAAATTAAAGATTAGGAAATCTTAATTTATTTCTAAACTAGAGGCCCAATGCATAAATTTGTGCACGGGTGGGGTCCCTCGGCATGGCCTGGGGGATTGGCCCAAAACTGGCAGTTCAATGCTGCCTGCCACTCCTGCTCATCCTGGCCCTGCTGCACACCCCCTGCAGGCTCGCATCCAGTCAGTCTTGATTGGGAGAGGCTCACACCACCATAGCAGCATTCGCCAGCCATGAGCCCTGCTTCTGGAGCCCTTCCAGAGGAGGGGGGGGAGGGGGACAGGATGCGATCGGCCCTCCGGGAGGGCGCCCTTGCCAGCCCAGGATCCAGATCTGTCCCCGCTGACATTAGTGCCGGTTGTCGAGAGCCACCTGGCAGCCACTTTTATATCGTTTCTTCCTTGTGGAGCATCTAGGGAGGGGAAGTAGCCGCAGTGCCCGAGGCCAACTTCCAGGAGGCCAGCGATGCTGTCGGGATTGTGCTGGCGGCACCGGTCCTTCGGAGCCTGGCCCATTCTCCAGAGATTGGACTTGCAGGACTACTGAGGGAGTGAGTGGCTGCTGCCAGGCTGGTGGGCCTCCGGGATGGTTTGGTCAGCTGAGGGGCACTCCCACTGGGGGAGCGCTCTGACCACCAGGGGGCAGCTCCTGCATTGAGCGTCTTTCTTGGTGGTCAGTGCATGTCATAGCAACCAGTCGACTGGTTGTTCAGTTACTTAGGCTTTTATATATATAGATTTGGGGATGAAAAATAAATATAACATGTAACATAAATCCCATTTTGGAGACTCTTAGTTTAAGCTATTCATGCACATTTATATGTTCCTTACTTTCAACAGTTTGCCAGAGGCGCATATTGAACCAATGCAGACTCCACGCTGCTATGCTGAGGGAGTTGCTGGCGAGGGAAGGAGCCGTGGGACTGCACCGCATCTGCCTCTGTGAGTTTTGAGGATCTTTACTATGGCCTTGCATATAGCAACCAGCAAGAAATTATGAAAGCTTTAATTCTTTGTCAAAATGCATCTGCCTTCCAAATAATAAAACACCCTCAAATGTTATTGTTAGGATTTCTTTAAAAGCCACAAAACTTAAGAAAATGAATATCCTTAGCCAGAAAACATATATATATATATATATATATATATATATATATATATATATGGTGAATTTATACACACACACACACACACACACACACACACACAGTTTCCAAAAATGTATACACACTTTAACAGCTGATAACTCACTTAATTTTCACTCCTTTTCAGGTTTAACTGATTTGAAATAATGGGTGAAGCCAGACTAAGTTTTGAACAAAGAAAATTTATCCTAAAGTGCCACTAGATTTTTTTTATGGGGATACATGAAAGATAAAGTTTAAAGCACAAAACTGGCAATAGTGGGCAAACTGAGGGCACACAAAACCGAACGAATGATTCTTGAGGCCTGCGATTCCCCTGCTTTGCGCTTATCAGCGGTGCCTGGACCAGATCAGTCATCAGTTTGAAGACATTATTCATTTCTGTAGATTCTTTTAAATTTGAAAATGAACTGTATATTAATAAACACTGACTTTATATTCATTCAAAGTGTGTATACATTTTTTGGGACAGACACCCTGTATATATAACAGATTCATATATGAATATACATATGTATGTATAAATATGAATAAAGTTTCTTATCCAGAAAACATTTTTTCCTCCTACATATGTATATAGGAGAATTAAAACAGTGATATATAGGTTGTGCAATTCCTTGAAGGTCTAAGGATACAACCTTCATTCATCCAACAAATACTTCTTGAGCACCTGCTATCTTCCAAGCCCTTTGCTAGGTCCTTGGGGTTAACATAAGAACAGACACCACCCACTCCCTCAGGGAGCCCACGCCTGCACACCTATCCATCAGCTACCATACAGTGGGGCACACAGGAGTCAGACATGCTTAACGCTGAACTGGGCTTGTGACTTCTCTCATTTGAGGTCTTAAGAAATAAGAAACATTCTTAAGTGTCCAGGAGAGTTTTAGTAAAACCCTGATTAACAAAGAGAAACAGAGATCCTCTTTGATTGTAGCTATGGCCGTATAATTCTGCTTACAAAAATCATACCCCTTTACCTACTGTAGTGCATTTCATGTTATTCATGATCAAATTTAAATCAACCTGTAACAGTCTGCCATTTTCAATCCATTTCCAGATTTTATCAGGAAGCAGAAACTCTTGAAAAGAGCATTATCCAACCACAAAACTAAAGTCATGGGAAGAATACAGAAAAGCAGCAATAGTATATGTCGTGTTCAAAAAAATACAGAGCAACATCTCTGTAGTTCCAACAAAAATATGTCATTTGTTCACATAAGAAGCATCTATTGAACAATTTAGCCTCATGCCTAGTATGGGCTTATATACACCATCATCTCTGTTCACACACATTCCAAATGGTTGGTATTTACAGTCTATTCAGTCTTTTTGTAAACAGGAGGCACCCAGAGGTAACTCCAGAAGTTAGTACAAATACAGTGTGAATGCCTGCAGGGACACTGACATTTTTAAAGATGTCAACACAATGGTTACATTTCCTTCATGGCCACATTTCGCCTAAATGTCCCACAGAGTTGGCTGCATGCTCTTCATTGCCCATGACTCCACCTACTTGGACACAGGCAGTAATATCCCCTTCTCCCAGCAAACGTGCTGAGGGAAGGGGAGCCACAACCCAGAGCAGCTGATTCACAAGCCTTCCACAAAGAAGAGCCCTTTCCTCCTGAGGCAAAGCTCTCCACCTCCTGGAACAGAGTAGCATCAACCAGCCCAGAGATGAGTGGCTCAGGACCTCAGGAAAACCAGCCACATCAGATCGAGGCTTGGGTCACAAAAGGGTAGGAAAACCCACGCAGGAAAACAGACAATAAATTATAAGACATATTCTGAACTTGACACAGAGAGGAGACGTGCACATTTTCTGGTGAAAACTCACCTTTAAGTGAAGAATGTCCCAAGACGGTCCACCCAAGAGGCAACTCCAGATGGGTCAGCGCCTGCACGAGTTCCTCGTCCAAAGCAGGCAGTGCTCCCACCGTCAGGGCAAACGGGGTCAGCAAGGTCTGATGGCTACTGGCAGTGAGGCGATCGGCCTGGGTGACCAGCAGACGGGCCAGCCTGCAGGCCATGTTGTCCACGTAGGTCACAGATCCGGAGCCCATGGTCACCGGGGAGTAACCTTCTGAGCAGAGGCACACAGACACCATCACCGTCTCCTGAAGCCCGTGGCCTGGACGACAAGACAGTGAACAGTTCACCCAGAGTCTATGCGAGATGCTGTCACCTGCCTCACCGCGCTGCCTACACAGACCACATGCTCCAGGAGACCAAGGCAGAAAGGAAACGCAGCCAGTTATCTTTAAATGTCGCTGAGCCTGTGGGGCCAAATTAAAGCCAACTCCATCTTCTTCCAGGGATGCCTGATTTAAAGCCAACCTTTATGAACTCTGAACATTTCAGTATCTATTCTCTGAAGATTACCAGACACTGTTACTTGGCATACCTTCGCCTTTTCCATCTACCCCACCCCCTGAATTCAAGTTTGTCATCTTAAAGGTCTCTGCCCTTTTCTGCTCTCCTGTTTTTCCTCCTGAGTCACACATTTTTATGTACTTATTTAGATGACAGTTTTATGAAATAGCACAACATGGTGACCCAAGTTCACCCTCATTCCACAGAGCTCCACTGAATATGAGTCGGGGTGGGTGATGACGACTCAAGAGAAACATTTATATATTTTTTTTCAGTGCCCTCGCCCCCCCCCCACTTCTGACAATGGCCTCTCTGTCTTGCGGGTGTTCTTAACACTCCTGTTGTGGGTGGTCACCTAATCCTGCTGTCCGTTCCTCCTCCTTACACATCTCTTCTTTCATCTTGCCAAGGTTGGTGAACTTCTGTTTTTATGCTAAATTTGGCAGAATTTCCAGGAATTAGTACCACCAAATCTCTGTAATTATGGTTAGCTGGACAGAAGGTGAGCATTCAGTCACCACTGGTCCCCAAGCATAAGGCTAATGAACGCAAGTCATTCCTGCTCTGCCTTACTCTCCAAAGCCTTTCCCCAAATGCAATGCGCCCAGGCCTCAAGGAACAAGGGCGTCCCAGGTTAGTAAGCAAGAACTTCTGCCATTTTCACATTGACTTTTTTTAAATGGTCTAATGTGCCGGCACAGAATGCAGCCCACGCATGCCCAATATGTCACACAGAAATCTGTCCTACATACTTCTGAACAGTTACCCTGGTAAAGCTGTAACCAGGGAAATGTAAGGTTCAGAGACAGGCACTGTCACCTAATGAAGGTAAAAACCTTCACTTCTAAGCAGGCCACAATATAATAAAAAGGGTTTTCTTTAACACGCAAGGAGTGGGAAGGAGGTTCGCCCTTAAATGCAAGTAAAGGAAAAGACAAAACAAAAGTGTTGAGATTAGAAGTGGCACTTTAGTTATTTTTATTCTTTCTCTATAAAAGTCTTCATTCAAAAGTAAACCAAGAAAAGAGGGGGAAGGAAGCTCAAGGCAAGAAAGACAAAGCAAAAGGACAAAGGCAAGAGAGACGCGCAGTCAGAGTGACTATCATTAATGAGGTTTGACTTTTTGTTTTTATTGTAAAGATGGGAGTTGTTGAACCAGAGGGAGAAGTACTTAAAAGTGGCCACAGAACAACAGATGGATTCAAGCCCAGGTAGCTGAAAGGTCTTTGTACATCTCTACAGTTCTTACTACGCCTGCATTCACATGTTTACTGTCTACCTTCTTTTGGCAAGTAATAGACACCCTGCAGAAGCACTTAGAAACATGTTTTTCTCTAAAATGAGGCTAATCTTACCTATAAGAAAATTTGATGTTTCACGGTTCCCTATATGATATGATTTAAGAGTAACTCAAAGACCCACAGTTAAATAAAACTTACCAATCGACAAACAGAAACAACAAAACCCTCCCTTCCTTCAGGCAATGTCCAATTACACCTTTAGGCTAGAGCTTGACATCCCAATGTACAACCCACACCCCAGTGAAAACACAAAACAATTGTATTTGAAAGGGGCTATTAGCTCATGATAACACATTAACACAACACAGTAATTTGTCATCTGTCACCATGGTGATTGAAGAAGAAATGTGGTAGAATTACAGGTTTCAGAATATGACCCGTTGGGTGGTGGGAAGAGAAAGTTCTGGAGCCTGAGATCCAGCAAGGAAGTGTCTGGATGGACAGGGTGCCAGGTGAGGAACCCCAGCCACCAAACCGAGCAAGCAGGGGGAGGCAGACCCTGGACTGGCAGACTAGCCACAGGGAATGAGGAGGGAAAATGAAGACAGATTCAATGTCCGTCTGCCTGAGCCATCCCTGGCAATGGGACCTGGGACTACAGGAGGTGATCCCGAGACACAGTGTCACCTCCACTGGACTGCACCAAAGCACACCCAGCCTTGAGAGCTGATGGAAGGCTAGGCTGCTCAGAGAGCTGCAGACACAGCTGGAAGAACCTGGAACGTGAGCTAACCCGGCATGAGCCCTCCTCCTATCACCCACAGACACACGCATTCTCACCCACTCATCCCTGGGAAGCACCGTTGACTTTCTCTTCCTGGCTTTCTTCCCAGCCTCTGTCCCCGGTGGGAAGATGCTCACAGACAGATTTCCCAACTGCTCGGTAAAGAAGACACCTCACCTGGAATGCTGGACTGGAGAACGTTGTCCTCCGTACGCTCGGCAATCACCACGTGTCTCTGATGAGATCCGTTATAAATAAAGTAAAACTCGGCATCTTTAGGAAGATAGACATTTTTGTCGAACTTCGCACACACCGTCATCTGCCCCTGAAAAACGAACAAGGTGGGGCATCATCACACTTCCTCATCCTGGCTCCAAGAAACCACACAAAAAGCATCCGCGTCCACCCGGGGCGGTTTGTCACGTTCACTTCTCGTGAGAGCGCTCAAATAGTACGAATCCGGCTTTCCAACAGCAACGTTTGGGTGCTTGCTGATATACTGAAATATGAGTGTCAGGGCTGGTTTGTTCTGTTTTGAAAGCTGAAGAAGTTTAGAGTGTAGTGAAGGTTTTTTTTTCTTTTTCACTTAGCGGATGTGAAAACGTGGTACTTTGTCTTTTACTCTGTTTGAATTCCTACCTGATGAGCATCATTGCTTGTATTCATTTTTTCCTCTACCTGAGATACCACCCTGGCATAAAGATTCAAAATGATTAATCTTTAGCTATGGCCTTACCCTGGACTACATACATCAGCATCTCTTGTGAGAACCTTAAATATTTGCACACACGTTGCCAAATAAAGAGAGCCACATGCTCCCACACTCGTGTGCCTTTTCCAGTAGCTTTTTGTCCTCTCTGAGGGATTTCTAAGTACTGTCTCTCATCTGGCCTGGCCTCACGCTTTCTCTTGAGAGCTTCTGTTTGGAACAGAGCCCTGGTCCCAAGGACAGGTGCTGCCCCCCCCCTCCCTGAGCCACCAGAGCACACTCTGAGGAAGGAAGGAGTGAGGAGGGAGCGGGCACAGCAGGCTGGTGCTCTCCAACAGGACCATGGTGGGGGGTGGAGGGGCTGTGAGGAGGGGCTACATCAGCAGTGCTTTCAAGAGAGCACCAGCGATGGAGGAGCCTGCCAGTTGATCTTGGGACTTTGGAGGATTCCGGACACTCCCTCCCCTCAAACATAAAATGGGTAATACAAAGGGGACCTCCAGGGAGAGGGTGCATTCCGCCCAGCCTGTGGGAGTGGCCGGGAAATGGAGACCAGGAGGTGGGAAGGGTTGCCCTCTTTGGAGGCCTCTGGGAGGAGCATCTGGGCTTCTGTGTGCTGGCCCAACAAAAACAAACCCACCTCCCAGCACGCCTCACCCTGGGATGCGAGGAAAGGGAACAGAGAAAGGCTATGCAGTCTCTTTCACAGCTGTTTGCCTTTGATGGATATTAGCATGTTATTCCCTAGGCTCTCAAGAGTCAGGCCGATCAGTATCAAAACCAAAATCAGACTGGAGCTCCTCTTTCCAGTAACCACATGGTCAGCTCTTCTAAAATGTTAAAAATAAAAAGGCTATGTTTTTCTAGTAGTTTGAAATCCATGCCACACATGAAACATTATCTTAAATTTTGAATTGGTATAAACACAAATTGTGAAGTTCTAAAACAAGTCACCGGTTCCCAAATTTGAATGGTCCTGTCTCTGCGTGTGAGCTCGCACACACGCGCACAAACATAATCAATAGAAAGTAACATGCCAAGAAAAATCTACCATACAATAGCTTCAAAAAAAGTTCAGGAAGGGGTTCTGAAAAGCAAGAAAAACAATAACAACAGTCTGACATGACTGAGAGAGGAAACTTAGATGAAATTCCATTTCCTAAAAAAGGAAGAACAGCTTGCTTTAGTCATGCTCCTGGTTGCTAAAGGGGCTGTTAATTACTCACAGACAGAATCTGGCCCAACCTGTTGATTTTTTTTAATAGAAAACATATTGTGTAAATAGATCAAAGTTTTTCACAGATCACAGGATATCTAGTCTATATCTATTCAAAACAATGATCACATTACTATTTTATCTGATTGGGTGAACAAGAACTGCAACTTATGAAAGAGCTTAACTACAACCCTTTTCAATGTGATCCAAGACAGTAGTTTTACAATTCAGTTATGCCTCCTTTTCAAGACCATACCATGATTTACATTGATAAAAGAAGATAAACAACAGTCAGGTCAGAAACTACACCTGTCCATTAAAGAGAGATGTCCAGAAGTCCTGGCATTAAGAATAATATTCAGCATAAAAGGAGTTTATGATTTGCTAATCATAAAGAGATCAGAAAGACACAGTATAATTACAAGAGAAGGAGAAAAGGGTGTGATAAAAAAAAACCAACAGAGAGAGACCCAATGAGAGAGAAGAAAGGGAAGGGAGGGGGGCGTGGAGATGGCAAGAGAGAAAGAGGAAGACAGGAAAGAAAATGTGAATTCATACAACTTAACAAAAGGAAGATAAACGATCCAATCAAAAAAATGGGCAAAGGAACTAAATAGACACTTTCGAAAAGGACATACAGAAGACCAAGAGACATATGAAAAAATGCTCAAAGTCACTAGTCATCCAAGAGATGCAAATCAAACCAGCAATGCAGTACCATCTCACACCTGTCAAAATGGCAATCATCAACAAATCAACAAATGACAAGTACTAGGATGCGGAGAAAAAGGAACCCTCATACACTGCTGGTGGGAATGCAGACTGGTGCAACCACTGTGGAAAACAGTATGGAGTTTCCTCAAAAAACTAAAAATGGAACTCCCATTTGACCCAGTAATCCCACTTCTAGGAATATATCCCAAGAAATCATAAACACCAATCAAAAAGGACATATGCACCCCTATGTTCATAGCAGCACAGTTTACAATAGCTAAGATTTGGAAACAGCCTAAGTGCCCATCAGCAGATGAGTGGATTAAAAAACTGGGATACATCTACACAATGGAATACTATGCTGCTGTAAAAAAGAAAGAACTCTTACCAATCGCAACAGCATGGGTGGATCTGGAGGGCATTATGCTAAGCGAAATAAGCCAGTCAGAGAAAGATAAATATCACATGACCTCACTCACTTGTGGAATATAATGAACAAAAATAGATCCAGAGACACAGAAGCATCAAGCAGACTGCCAAACCTCAGAGGGAAGTCAGGGAGTGGTGGGAGGGTGGGGGTAAGAGATCAACCAAAGGACTTGTACACATGCATATAAGCAAAACCAATGGACACAGACAGTAGGGGCATGAGGGCATGTGCTGGGGGGTGGATGTGGCCGGGGAGAGGTCAATGAGGGGAAAAAGGAGATCTATGTAATACTTTTTCAACAATAAAGAATTTAAATTTTTTAAAAATGTGACTATGAAAGAACATTTTCATTCAGAAAAGTTAGATAAAGTTCAAAGGTTTAAATATCGCTCCAAAGGAGTTCAGCAGGAGGAATGGGCTTCTCAAATTGTGCTGAGGACCAAGGTACAACATAATCAGCCACAGGTGACAATTTTTCACTACGATTGGGGTCTTTCTCATCACTGTGGCCACTGAAAATATGCCACTTTACTTAAAGGGCCACTAATTTTATTACTGGCAAAGATAAATTGGAGTGTACAGAATTCCAGTGTGCCTCCATCATGTCTCCATCTGGATTCAATCACATGCTGTGTTTTAAGCAATTGAAAACTGTAAACTTTGCTAAGTGAATTTGTTGGCATCAATACCAGAATCACTCTGCTTCTGCCCAGAAATAACAGAGATGTGTTATCACCTCTCTGTCAATTCACTGTATCCCAAATACAAAAACACTCGGCTATTACACTGAAACTTCTGGAAACAATAAGAGGCAAAATTATCTCCCCAAATTTATCTATAAATTTAATGTACTCTAATCAAAACCCAAAGTGAATTTTTCAAATGAAACTCAACAAGCTTATTCTAAAGTTCATCTGGAAAAATAAATATACAAGACTTGAAACAAATGTTTTAAGAAAGAATGATGTTTGAGCTGAGGGAGGGGGCAGGAGGAGCCTGGAGATCAGAACTTACCTCTCAAAACATACAATGAAACCATGGAAATTTAAACAGTGCAATGGTGGCACACAGAGAGACCACTAGGTACAGAGTCCAGAAACAGATGTATGGAAATTATGTAATAAAGGTGGCATTTCAAATCAGTGGGGAAAGAATGTTCTACTCAATAAATAGTTTTGAAACAATAGCTCTCCATTAGGAAAAAAACATTCTTCATATCAAGGAGTTAAATTCCCAATTAATGCAATATTGCACATAATTCATAAGCACATAAAATTAGAAGACTATCTAACATTTTTCATTATTGCACAAAATGATAGCAATTAAAGATACCTACATTTCATCTATATGGACACCACCCTAATGTATCAACAGTTTTTCATTCTTCCTCTTTCCTTCCAGTCTTTGTTCAATGCACAGCTAAAAATTACATAGCTATACTCATGGCATAAATACACATCACATATGGTTGTGCTTTGCTCTCTTCTGTGAAAAATATTTTTCCATGTTGTTACAATCTTTGGCACTATTTTTAATTGCATTCCATCGAGTATTTGAAGCTCTGTGATTTAATAATGTACCCTATTGTACATTAAGGGTATTTGTAGCCTAATATTACAAAAAAAATACTATAATAAACATTTTCATGTACGTTTTTTTCTATGCTTTAAATCACTTTTTAGAATGAAATTCTAGAAATGGTCCAAGAATGTGAAAAATTGTCACAAATTGCAAAACTGATTTCCAAAAATGTTACATCAACTTTCATCACTACCTGTATTGGGCAAGCGTATCATTTTCATCCCAGTCTTGCCAAAACTGTCTTTTTTAGTATTTCCTAAATTAACAGATAATAAACAATCCTCATTGATTTTATTCATATTTTCTATTGCTACTGAAATTTATTGCCCACTTTTATAAAAGTCTATTACTAAATGGTGCCATCCTTGTTAGTGGCCTGATTAAATTTCTACTTATAGGATTCTGGTCTTCCCTCTCTTATTCACCTTTGCCTGAGGCAGATCAAAATTTCCACTTTCCCAAGTGAACCAAGTGAGATCAGCATCAGGGTTATTCCCTTTCCCCTCTGAAGAGTGAAGGTGTACCACCTCCCTCCCTTCTCATGCCCAAATAAGAAGCACTCAGATACTCCTGCAAAACCTCTGAAGGCCAGGTAACATGGAAACAGGAATGACAAATGTAAACAAGAAAAGCTGAACTGAGTATAATCATACTAAATATACCTCAATATAAGCT